TTTGAAATATTGTACTATTTTTTTTACACCATTTATATTTAAAAACAATAGTCAAAAATACAATGCATAATATTATTTAGTATATGGCATATACATGCTAGCGTTTCGACATCTTTGAATGCATTTATAAAATTTGCTCCGTTATCACTCATAACTATACATTTATTTAAGTAATTTTCTACTTCTGTATATTCTCCTAAAATTGAATTGACTATGCTTTTAATTTTGACGCTTTTTTCATCCATTGCCCTTGTGGCCAAAACAAATGTTTTTAATTAAAATCCTTAATGATAATATGTCCTATAATGGTTAAAAAACTTAGATTTTTATAGTCATCCGTCCAAATATCAGTGATTATGGACAATAATCATGCTTTTAGTTTTAAATTTTATTTGAACCTATGAGAGTTTTCCGGTTCATAACTTTTATATTTTGTTATCCATATGTAACACCAACATTTATCTCTTGGCCTAACTTGTAAAATCCTTCACTTTCTGTTGCATTTAAAGATTAAAGATCTTTACAAATAAAATATAACTGACTTTTCTGTAAAAAGTTTAAGCAAAATTTAGCATAAAGTCTCGCGATAAAAAACACCTAAACATAAAAGAAAATAAAACTAACAAAATGATACCGGATATTGTTTATAAAATGCGGAAGATTTTTAGTTTTCATAAATTATTCTTTTTTAAAAAAGAACTAAATTAAATAAGAAAATATAAAATATTATTATAAAATTGCAAATTTTATAAAAAACAATTTAAAATATTAAAATTTCCGTGATTTAAGGGAAATTTATGTTCACGCCCGATCACGTCGGCGGAAAATTTTGGAAAGGCCCGTCACGCCTAGTCACGCCTTGGAATTTAAAATTTATTCACACTCACGCCTAATTTCACGGCCCGCGCCCACCTCTAGTCCATACCATGTTATGATATGAGTAATAATGTTTTTTATTAGATGGTGTATGTTTACAAGCATTGGTGATAGTACTATGTTGTGAATGTCTTAAGGAGTGACATAGTAATTCGAGCTTTCTATATGTAAGTAGTCTGTGTAAGGGAAGGATATTGCAAGAGTTCCAAAGGTTGAAGTTAGAAATAATATATGGATATCTGATATTTAGGATGTTTTTTAAAGATTTGTTAATAAAGACTTGAGTTTTGTTTAGATTAGATTTAGTGATATCCCAAGTTTCAATGCCACAAGTTAACGATGATAGAATGTAGGTCTTGAAAATTTGAACTTTGAATTTATTTGATATAATATTTGTATGCCATAATTTATTAAGAGAAAAATATTATGAAGTAGCTTTAGCGAGTTTAGATAATATATCTGGTTTAACTGAACCTTTATAATCGATAATAATACCTAAATAATTGAGAGATTTAGTGAAAAGAATATTTTTGTTGTTAAATATTAGATTAAGATGTAAAGGGGAAGTAGATAATATTTTTGTTTTATTAAAGTTTATTTTAAGATTCATCTGTTGGAGAGCGGAAGAAATTTTTGTAAAATTGATATAATTATAATCTTCAGTAATAATATAAATGTCGTCGGCATAACAAAGCCAGTCGACATTATAGAGGTTACAAGAATTAATTAGATCTCTAATTATTAAGTTAAAAAGGGAGGAGATAAAGGGCATCCTGTTTGATGCCACATTTAATTTTGAAATAGGGTGAGGATAAATTATTGTGTTTAATATTGATAAGACTATTTTCATAAATGTACATTATAATTTTTATAAAATGTGTATTAATTTAATATTGAATATTCCATAAGTATTGATGTTTGATTGAATCAAAGGCATGAATATAAGACTATTTTCATAAAAAGTTGGTCAAATTATTATAAAAAATCCTGAAGATCAACTTAACATTTTTGTTGATCATTACAGATCCCTCTTCAATAATAAATTTCCCTGTTATTCTATTTCCTCGCAACAACTTATTACTACTCCTCCTTCTCCTCTTAATAAAAATGACTGTTACTATTAAAAAAATCTCAAAAACCATAAATCCTCTGCTGATAACATTCACAATGAAATATTAAAAATATTCCCCGAAACGATTACTAATTTACTTTTTCCTACCTTAAATAAAATATGGAACACAGCAATTCTTCCCACTAATTGGTGTAAATCTACTATCATTAATTTATCCAAATCATCAAACCCTTCCTCAATTCATGATTACAGAGACATTACCTCTCATCCCCTTTTTACAAAATTTTTACTACTTACATCTTCAATCTTATCTCTAAAGATATTGAAAAAAACACTCATAATTCCATTGCATCCTTTAGAACTGGGCGCAACACCATAGAATTAATTACTTCACTTAAAATAAGACTTGAAAAAGCTCATAGAAAGCCTTTGATTCAATCAAACATCAATACTTATGAAATATTCAATATAAAATTAATACACATTTTATAAAAATTATAATGTACATTTATGAAAATAGTCTTATCAATATTAAACACAATAATTTATCCTCACCCTATTTCAAAATTAAATGTGGCATCAAACAAGGATGCCCTTTATCTCCTTCCTTTTTTAAATTAATAATTAGCGTTCTAATTAATTCTTGTAACTACCATAATGTCGATTGGCTTTGTTATGCCGACATTTGTATTATTACTGAAGATTATAATTATATCAACAATATTTTTACAAAAATTTCTTCCACTCTCCAACAGATGAATCTTAAAATAAACTTTAATAAAACAAAAATATTATCTACTTCCCCTTTACATCTAAATCTGATATTTAACAACAAAAATTCACTAAATCTCTCAATTATTTAGGTATAATTATCGATTATAAAGGTTCAGTTAAACCAGACATATCATCTAAACTCGCTAAAGCTACTTGTAAATATTTTTCTCTTAATAAATTATGGCATACAAATATTATATCAAATAAATTCAAAGTTCAAATTTTCAAAACCTACATTCTATCATCGTTAACTTGTGGCATTGAAACTTGGGATATCACTAAATCTAATCTAAACAAAACTCAAGTCTTTATTAACAAATCTTTAAAAAACATCCTAAATATCAGATATTCATATATTATTTCTAACTTCAACCTTTGGAACTCTTGCAATATCCTTCCCTTACACAGACTATTTACAATTACTATGTCACTCCTTAAGACATTCACAACATAGTACTATCACCAATGCTTTTAAACATACACCATCTAATAAAAAACATTATACTCATATCATAAATCATTGTATGGACATGCTATAAATATCCTAAATATTAACAATGTTGGCGGTCTATTTCTTATAAACATCTCCCAAAATAAATCCCATTTGAAATCTTGGCTAATTCAAGCAATCCTTGATTAATTATCTTTTATTAATTCAATTTAATTTTTTTTTAATTACTAATATTATAAATATTAAATAAGAAATATAAATATTCTTTCTACAATTTACTTATCTAATCTTTCTCTTCACTCAATTCCCTTCACTCAATTCCCCAATTTTTAATCTAAAATATTTTTTCTTCAATTTATCAATCCATTTTTACTTTCTCTTTAAATCATTAAATTCCCTTATATCTATAACATTACATTAATACTATATATACAAATTTCTTATTTCTTAATATATCAATTTAGTGGATCCTTGCTTATCCACAAGAGGTACCGTAAGCCCTCTTAAATTAAACGGGCCCTGACAGTAGGGTAAATTACTGCCAAACAGTAAATAAATTCACTGCACTGGAGACACCCTCTATGGGGTGGTGGAGTGCCCACTGAATTGTGGGATATCTCCCCAGTGTATGATATGAAACGATAGAGGAAAGATAATTCTTAGCTTCTAGAATAAAATAATGATTGACATTATCTTAATATAAGACATTTATAAATTATTTGATTGTCATTTAATATTATATAGCAATTAAACAAATCTACGACACATTTTAATTGAGGTTTTAAAAATAAATTGCAAGGTTTTTGAAGAAACTATTCCTAGTTTTTAAGCGATTTCAAACTAAAACATTGGGTTCTTATACTTCGTAATTATATTATTAATTCATCTACAAATTTACAAGCAAAAAAAATAAAATATTTTATTTTTGTTTGGTTTTAAAATAAGAGATGCACTAATACTACCTTTTTAGTCAAAAATGACTAATATTATAAGCAGTATATTTATTGAAAACGTGAAGATATAAATGAATTCATCAGTATTTTCATTTTTATTTATTTATCATTTTATGATTAATTTCTGAAATTTATAAAAGGAAAAACAAAAATTAATATATTTCTTTCTTATAGGATTAAAATTTGTATGTGTAATTTTTTAAATATAAATTCAAAACGTAATAAAGTAAAAAAAAATAAAATTTTTAATGCAATTGGAACCGTCAAAATCGGGACAAATCTAAGAGTCAGAAACTGAAAAGTGTGATTAAATGATTTGATTTAAAAAAACAGCTAACCCAACATTTTAGCCAAAATATATCACACAAGCCTAAGGTTATATTTCATAGATAGCAGAAATATTAGGTCATCTATTAACAAAATAAATCTATAGGCCTAGGTAAGATTAGTTTAATTAAAATCTTGATTTAACCATTTATAAAAATAAGCTAAATTGAGCTCTTTACCATTAGGGGCAATAAAACAATAAACTGCAAATAGTAAGGTCCAACCAAAATCAATGAGACAATAACATACAAACTAAAAATAAAATTTATTTTTAAATAAAAGCACTTAATTTTATAAAATAAACTTGTACTATAAATTTTTTCATAACATGATGTGGTAAAAGAGTGTTTGAAAATTTAATAAATAAAATTAAGCCTATCTATATCTGGAAAAATAATTTAATTATTAAAACTGTTGGATACAATTTGACAAATATGTGATGGTGATTTATCATTAAAATATAAATCAATTGATTAATCTATTTTGAAATATAAATTTTAAGATAGAAGGTAAAAAAAATAAAAATAAATGAATTTAAAATTTTTACTATGGCTTGATTATAACACAAAATTGCATCGTGATATCTTCCGTTTGTGAAATATCGATTACCTTGATTTTTCAATTCTTCAGCTGTAGCCATTATATAAAGCTTCAAGTGGCTATTATATTTTATGATATTTTTTAGATATCATTTCGAGAATTTGTAAAAATTGAAAGAAGGATGGATGTAAAATAGAATTTATGAATATGTTTGTCATACTGTAGAGAAAGTGGGGGGGGGGGGGGGGAAAGGAAAATTCGTAGTTTTTAATGTTATTTGAGTTTTTTATTAGAAAGTTTATTATTCCAAATTTTATTAAATGCATAGAAATACTAAATTTTTTAAATATATCCTTCTGGAGGTCGGTGCGGATCATCGAAAATAGTGAACAATTTGTAAGAAATATTTTCATGAACAGGGCTATATTTTTTCAGAAACTTTAAAGCTTAACATTGAACTAATTTATATCTTTTCCTTCCATAGAAAATTATGTTTTGGGCGGGATAACTTGTACAATAAATATAATTTTACGGGCTGGGATAAAAACCACTCTTGTGCTATATCGGTGACTCTCTACTAATATAGAGCTACTCCGTTACTTTCAATTTTATACAATAAATTTACATAAAAGTTAAAATATATTTATAATTAATTCTAAAATCATAATCTTTTTATTTTATTTAATTTTGAAAATTATATTTTAAAATCTGCATTATATCAAAATTAAAATTTAAAATATCGGATATAGAAAATAATTTTAATACAGATCATATCGACAAAATTCTCCTGGAAAATGATAATAATATGGAAATTCGTTTTCCTGAATTAGCAGAATATTTTAATATCATTAAAAGAGTATAAATTTTATTGTAAGATGCGCTGGAAGATCTTATCATTAAACAAAACTAGCAAATTTAATGAGGAAGCATTTATAAATAATAAATCCAACAAATTTAATATCAATGTGTCTTAAATCTCTAAAATAAAATATGAATCAAAGCTAAATCTATAGAGCTAGATGAGTTTAAGCCAAAGTTAATTTTTTGACCCAGTCCAGAGTATGTTTAAACTGGCAATAAGATATTATTCAAGAATTATATTATAAATTAAAATTCGATAAATATTTAATATTAACATTTCATTTTATTATAAGACTCATCTATTTAATAATATTTTATTAATTGTTAACTGCATGTATTGTTGTTAAAAAAGTTTAATTTTGGTCAATTTTAAAAGCGGTCCGATTAAGATTATTAATAAATTATTGCTCATAGTAGAAAAAATACTTCATCTATTTGCCAAATCTCAATGCGTATATAATATTATTTAAGAAAAAAATCTTAATCGGGGTTTTTTAAAAATCACGAATCACCCTAAATGTGGCTTTTTACAAAACTACCCGATGTTAAATTCGCTTAAAATTAAAAACTCATCTATTTATATATATATATAATTTTATAAAAATATGCTAGAATACATAATTCAATCCTTTTATAATTTAACCCATTTTGATAGAAATTGGTTAGCTAAAATATTAAAGGGCAGTGGCAAACATGTCCAAAAAATTTATATTTTAACTATTACTATTATAATTTTGGACAAACTAGCCAGATTACGTTATCTACTATGCATGATTTTTTCGAAATAAATAGTAATATTATTGAAAATCCATCAGATGCATTTTTTTAAATCTAAAAATACTCAAATGAATATTTTTGATGATTTTTCTTAGATAAAAAATATTTATATTTAATTTAATACTGCATTGCTTGATAGTGTTAAATGATTATTTAGTCATAGTTTATACTTTCTGGTCGTTATTCTAGATGGGAATGACAGAATGAAAATGTAATATTAAGATGTATTAAAATCAGAGTTGTTAAAAGATCGAATCTAAAGATCGACGATCCTGGATTCGATCGCAAATTTGTCAATTTTACCAGATTTATGATTCTGACTTAAATTGAGGATCGAGATCGAGATCATTTTGTTTAAAATTCGATCCCGATCTTTTTAAAAATTAATTTTTTACTTAAAAAGCAATAAATAAAATAAAAATTTTGAAAATTAAATTAAAATATTATTTTAAAAAAAATATCTATCTTCATATTTTATCAACTTCCATTCCACCATTTATTTTATAGATATATTTATTCATTTCCTAAATTTTACGAGATTTAGAGCTCTTACAAGTTATTTAATATAAATTTATAATAATATATTAATATTTATTTTAATAGGTAAATGTAAATGCCCATTATAGATTTAGAAGATTCTATTGCTTCTACTATTGATGTAACAGCAGATATAAGTGAGAATGAGAATCTTTTACCATTTTTGAAATTACGTAAGTATTTTACTTTATGTGAAATGGATGAAAGCAACTCTTATAATATGATCAGCACCAAATGCCGTCTCTGTAAGAAGATAATATCATCTTCCAAAATATCATCTTCGAACTTAAAGAGACATTTAGAAATAATTCTTTTAAATTTTTTTTATTTGATAATCTTAATGTCAACATGTTTAAATTTAATTTATTACATTCTTGAGTTGAGCAGGTCCTACAGAAATACAATCTAGATACAGATTCTTTATAAAAAAATATTTTTTTATGTAATTATTTTATATTATCAGATATCTGCAAAATATATTAAAAAATTGCAAAGATCTGGCAAATTTAGTAAAATATTTTTAACAGGCCAGTTCTACTAAACCTCTGATATCTAGTAAAATATTAATGGGCCTTTGAAGACATTAAAAATTTATTAGATTATTTGAATTTTAAGCTAATATTTTGATTAATATTCGTAAATAAATTACAATGTTAATTTCTTTGTATATTAAGTATTAAGTTTACATTTAATCAATATTTATGATATGACCCAAATATAAATAAATACCATACAGATGATGTGCCAGACTTGACTGTAAAATTTAAAAGGGTTAAGTTTTGCAGATACTTGATTTGATTTATATGAATAAAATGAATACTTATTTAATAATAAATTAATTATCATTTCATAATATAGATTTCCTTCACTGTATGAAGACAGTAACATTTTGGCAGCCATGATTCACCCTAAATTTAAACTTAATTGGCCTTATATTAATCTGCCACAAAATATGATGGTAAAAGAAAGATTAGTTGCCCATTTGGAAAATATGCAGGAACAACCATATGCGGATACCTCAAATGAATGTATAGATGACATTGATGCTTTTTTTGGGAAAAATACTGTACAAAATGCTTGTTCCGTTAAAAAAATTTTTTATTCAAATGATGATTCCATGAATATTTTTAATACTTATATTAATTTTAAAAAATATTTATTGAACATATAAGCGCTCCTGTGGAGCGCTTGTTTAGTAAAACTAAACATGTTCTAAGTGAAAGACGCGGATGTTTAAATGATGATAATTTAGAAAAAAATTTATTATTAAAAGCTAATTTTAATTATAAATAAATATATTATAATTGTTATATTTATTATTCAATTACAATAAATTTCTACCACATTTAATTTATTTTTATATTAGTTAATTTTGCATCGGTCAGAAATTTCCTTCAGAAATTTAAATAGAAAAAAAGGTCGATCCTGGATTTCGATCTTCTTTTTTTGAAAAGATCGTGATCGGGATTCGATCGTTTTCAAAAGATCGGTTAACAAGCCTGATTAAAATGAATTAATTTTATATATATTTGAAATTTTAATCATATTTTTTTATTTAAGAGATTTGTAAAAAATATTTTTTTAAAAAAAATCTAAATTGGCGTAAAAAGTAGATGCTACTTTTTTTTTAAAGTAGCTAATAGTGAGCTACTTTTTTTGCAAATTAGTAATAGCGATAGCACGCTACATGTTTTTATAAAATAGCAATAGCGATAGCGTTCTACTTTTAAGAGTAGCCCTTAACAACACTGATGAAGACCCTGTTCAAAATTTTTCACTCACGGACTTCTGATACCTAACAAATAATATAATTAGAAATAGCTGCTTCTCTTGAAATTAGGTATCTTATTGTGAGTCGGATTACTTTATTCATATTCTCAGCTTCCACTTTGAAAAAAAATAGCCATTTATTTTAAATTTGTAGAAGGGATATGAAATTCGTTGCGATTTCATATTTCACTGTAAAAATTGATATATCTCAAATCCTTACCTTAATCAAAATTTTTAATAAATTTTTCTTTTAAAAAAAATTTTTTTTTTAAATATATTATATTTTATATCGAATCTCGACCTTTGACTGCCATTCCATATTTTTTTTAAAAAAAGAGGTATTTTAATCTAAAATATACTTTTATTTTTTGTTCGATTGATCTGTTGAGTAATTTATTTTTTTATTTTGAAGTCTTTTACTTTTATTAACCTAACCATACAAAACATTAAGGCTGCATTCAAAGTGGAGACGAATCCGTTTTTTACATCCGTCCCGTCAATCAATCTCATTAAAAATAATATACATGTTCATAGTGTGTCCGTTCCGATACCTTCCGTCTTAAGAACGGATTCGGCAAATTTTGAAGTCAAAATATTTTGACTTTTTGATCCGGCAAATTTTATAGAGTGTTATAACGTTACTTATAATTTTTTTAAATTAAAATCAATATATATATATATATCATTTTTAATGAGATTGGCTTTTGACGGAACGGATGTAAAAAATGGATCCGTCTCCACTTTGAATGCAGCCTAAGATTTATAAATAAGCGGAACTCGTCTTTGCTTTTGAGTAAAATTCTCAAGAATTAAAATTTTAGATTTTACAATTTTTATTTTTTTAATTAAAAATTTTTGTACTTTTTAAATAATAAAATTTTAGCTCTGAACTTGCTGTTGATGAATACAACTTATAAAATTGCTCTTCGTCCTCTTTTGAAAATCAATTTCTTTTTAGTTTATATCAAATATTTTGAGCTAGGGGATATTTTTAATAAATTTTATTAGTTTTATAGAAACCATCAATAAATTAAATTGTTACACGTGAAAACATGTAACATAAATATAATAGTAAGTAAATTTGCCTCAGCTTAAATGGGGATAAAACAAAAAATTGATAAATTGCAACAAACCAGAAAGTACATAGTAAGCTACGCCTGATTAATCTAACGATAAAACTACAACTACTGCCAACACTACAACCACTGCCAACACTACAACCACTGCCAACACTACAACCAC